GTTCCTCCACATAGTGTACTTATTATTGCTTTCTCACACTTGTACTTGTTTTGTTTCCCTAAGATCCCAAGTGCATTGATGCTCCCGAAATTTCTCCTTCCAGTTCAGTCTCTTCGTGTGCTTCTGTCACAGAAACAGTACATCATTGTCCAACACCAAGTCTCAGCAGCAGAGGATCTTCTTCTGTTCTGGTTCATCGGTCCAGTCCAATTCAATATTACTCAAAAGCGACCTCTGCTAGTCCGACAAATACTGCGCTTTCTCCGATATCGTCAGCCGCTATCCAGTGTCAGGGTAAGACACCATGCGTCCGTCCTATGATCTATTTATTTTCTGCACGAATCTCTTCGCGTGACACGAACTTTTGCGGACCAACAAAATTATAATAAAACGCAGAAAGGCATGTAAAATTGATAAATTGCGAGATTTTTCGTTCTGGTGAGGACGCAAGTGAAGCAGATATGCTAAGAACTCTTGTTTCAGGCCTTCTTGTGGCAAAAATTCAAAACATAACACGTTAGTCACTCAACTGCCGTTTCTCTTCTCAATTACATGTATTTGGACATGGTGGATAATTTAGTCATCATTCTTCTTCTTTTATTCAGAAAAATTTGAAGCTTCCATCTTAGAAGGATTCCTCTCTTTATTCGCAAACCAGTCTCGCCTGTTGGCAGAAATTTACAACTACACTTCCATAATACCAGATCTAGAGCTTGTGCTGCGAGGAATTAATCTTTCACAGACGGTGACACAGAAAGCCCTGCCTGAACAGGACAAAAATGTAACACAGAACTGTACCAAGGAAAAAGATAGCGCTGTCGTTGCTCAGAGTGCACCCAGCGCACCTGCTTGTCCCCTGGGAAATTATGCTCCAGGTAAGGTGTTAAATTTTTAATCAGAGAAAATTCGATTGAATGTCGAGAGTAATCCGAAATTGCATTGTTTTGCTTTACTCCACTCTGTGATTGGTCCAGAAAACTCGCATCATTCTCTCAACCAATCAGATGCAAAACTAAACCAGTCACCAATTAGTCGCGCACGTTTTCCGCGCTTTGAGCAATTTGGTTGTTTTTATTTTTAGTTCTCCTTGGCTCTTACACGTATTTTTCTTTCTGATTACTTTAAGTTAGTGCGATACTCAATCAAAAAAAGCTCCAAATGTGAAGTCTACATTCTAATCTGACTCAAAATCTGACGAAAGCCTCCGTTTGATTGAAAATATACTCGTGGATTCATCTGGTGAAATTATCTGTTCTTCGAAGCATACTTGCAGTTCTTTTCAAGCTTTAATCTCGACAAACTGTATCGTGCACGAATGTGGGAACTGATAACATTATCTAATAAATATCTGAGCGCATTGTAAGAACTTCAGCACGGAATCACCCGGCGTTAAATGTAACCTAGAAGCCTTAATTGATTACCCTGACTGCATGTTTTTCTTCTCAAGTTCTTGCCAGCTGTGACGCACTCTTTTTATCCGGCTACAAACTTAGTGGTATTTACCGCATCGATCCCTTGGATGGAAAAGGAGGATTTGGAGTGAACTGCGACCACGAGAACGGCGGAGGAGGTTGGGCGATTACCCTACGACGATTTGATGGTTCCTTGGACTTTGATCGTGGGTGGAATGCCTACAAGGAAGGCTTAGGAGATCTAACGGGAGAGTTTTGGTTAGGCTTGGAGAAAATATACAGACTTACTGGTGGCTCGTATTTCACCTTGAGATTCGATCTCGAATCCCTGAATGGAACTAAGAAGTACGCAGAGTATGAAGGATGTCAAGTGGACGAGAGACGAAAATACCAGATATCTGTTGGAAGTTAATCAGGTGAGAAATGACGATGAGATGGGATGAGATCTATGGAGGCTGCCAAAACGCGAGGAATACGAGATATTGAAGCCTGGGCTAACCTTTTCACTTTTTCGATTCTGCCGGTCATTGTCTTATTCAACAATACATACATCCAGCGGTTTTCTTTTCAGTAGATTGCATAGAATCTCGAGGGGTTTTTTTTTTTATTTCTTACTGCACGACAAAACTTGTTTTTCCTGGTTTTTTGTTTTGTTTTTGATAAGTAGAAAGAAAATACAAGATAACGTACCCAGAAAGTATAATTATACCTGGATGCTTACAGAAAAAAACCTTAACATTGGTCTGGAATGCTGGAAAATTCCTACAGGTGATCAAAGGTGGCATGCCAGAGACTTATGGAAAATTATATTTCAACAGTCGGCTTGGAAAATATTTTTACCCGAACCGAATAAATCCACGGAAAAGAAACAATTTATGGGGATGGCCAAACCAAACTAAATTTGCTTTTTCCTTGCGCAGGCGATGCAGGGGACTCGTTTTCGTATCACAATGGGATGAAATTCTCCACTAAAAATACAGATTATGACCGATCCACCTTAAAGTGCGCTCAAGTTGCCGGTGGCGGCTGGTGGTTTAATGACTGTCAACGCGCATGTCTCACAGGAAGCTACGAGAATGGCACGCACAGCTCTCAAGGAATTGTGGGTATTCAATGGCAGGCGTGGACTGGGGTCGATTATTCTTTGTCTAAAGTTGAGATGAAAATAAAACCAGCCTAAGATGTGACTACAGTCAACTTAAACAGCAAAATAAAAGAATCAATTTTCTGTCTCTGAGGACAGTTGCGGCACGTAAGGAGAATTAACATTAAATTTAGGAACCTATTGTTGGAAAGACAGTCTATAGAAAGGAGCCCGACGAATCAATTGCCCATTTCGGAACTACTTTTGGGAATTCGGAAATAGCCTATTCCCGTGATTCCCTCCCACTAGCTATTTAGAGAGAAATACCTGAAGCCATTTCCATATCATGCACACAGCAATCATGAACGGTAACGCACCTCTACCAAAATAGAGCGTCTCATGGAAACTAGCTTACAGGAACATAAATAAACATCGAGCTGTTTCAATGGTTCTTAAATGACCGATTGAATTACAGTTCATTTGTTTGGCCGTTAGCCAGGAAAACTGGATCGGTTACTGGAAATCGAGGCTGCTCTTTCATTGGAAGAAGTTTGTTTTATCTTCCACAATGAATGGCCACAAAAGAATTTGTATTCGTTTCTATTATCGAAAACAGTTCAAACATTTTCCTACTTTATAACGTAAATCTTTCCTTCAGCAAAATAGTTAGCATGATGTGACGCGCACTACGTTAAACTTGTTACTGACCACTTATTAAAACAAAAACTCTCCCCTTTGTTTTATTGGCACAACTCTAGAAAATAAGAGAATATGTAAATAAGAGCAACCATCCTTTCTTTAATTCCCCCATACATATTTTCATCCTTAACTTTACAACGTCTCAATGAAAGTCCAACATACCAAATTACCACTAACAACAGGCCGGGACAGAAGAATAATCAATAATTTGCAATTATATATTTCTAATAAGGTGGCGAACTGTCTCTGAATAACGCCACTATAGTTTTATGAATGAGATTAACTTGGTGGACGATGTTTGGAGGTTGTCATGGCAGACACAAAGAGCTTTGAAGCTAAGCAAGGCATCTAAGCGCCATTCTGGATTAGACCCTACCTTTGAGTTTCTCCTGAATAATGAAATTGGATCTTCAACCAGTTTTCACTTCATTGAATCGTTGAATAGAACACAAGTGTACAGAATGGTACAGAATGATGGAAAAGTCTTAGTTAATTAGCGCTCTCTCTTGACCAGCGCCTGAAAATTTCCAGCACCTTCACTTGTCACAAATTTACGTCTACCTTCGTTTTTGTCGTGTTAAAAACTGTTTAACGGGACAAACTGCTGGAGGAGTTGGAAAAATGTGCCGAGAACTGTTCCTTTAATGCTTATTTTTGAGAACGGAATTTGAATTTATTTCCCATAAGACGAATTGCGAAAAAAAGTCATACTGTGAAGAGCTCCCCCCGAAAAAATACTTTGTAGGCACCTCTCCTTTGAAGATAGCTCTACTCTGCGCGAAAGGGTTGAATTTCCTCCGTATTCAAGTGTATTGTGAACAAAAAACTGAAATAAGCAGGAAAAAGTGATCTCACGAGAAGCAATTAGTTGTGCCCAATAGACCCCTCTGCAGCGAAAAAAACAAACAAAACCAATTGAATCATAAACGAATGATACATCCCCAATCGGGATGCTGGCCATTACAGGTTACTCCTATCCTCATCTCCCCCCTCAAAATTTCATATCTGCCCTGTAAGCTTCGCTTCTCGGCCAAATATTAATTTTTTGGACAATCTCTCAGACGCGAACATTATCAGCCGACCTACCAGCCGCCCGAAGGGGTTTATTTACTAAATATATTATCAATCAACTTTGCTGATGTACTTCTTCACGTGTCGGTTTGACAGCTTTGGGAGTGAGATAACTTTGAAGAGACGTTAAGAAATCCTGCCTATAATTCGAGAGCAACTCTAGTTTCTTAAGTGTTCTCCAAACTTCCCAAGTGCTTCAATTCACGATGAAAGTACAGCCGACACATGAACCAATTGTTTCATAACATTTTTAACGCTGTATTTTATGTATAAAGGCCAGAAATTCCCTCTTCTACGCTTAAATGCATTGTTTATTCTGTTTCGGAAAAGTATTTCGCTATGCTTCAATGATCTCGCCTCATATTCGGCACATTAGCATTTAATAAAAACTGGATCATTGGATAATGCAATTCAA